GAGTGTAACCAGCCCCGCCGACGGGTACACAAGGTGAGCCCTCAGCAACCCCACGGTTATCGGAGTACCCCCTCCGTTAGTCGCCAGTAGATCGCAACGTGATTTTGCGAACCCCACTCCGCCACAATGGTGCGACGACGCACCAAAACTTGTGGCAGTGAGTGACATGGCATCGTGGACTAGACATTAAATTTTTTACGAGTGTCGAAACGTTCCCCGTTTAACAACTGCGTGAACGTAGACATGGAAACTTGTGCAAAGCGACTGGAGAGCGTGGACATGAGAGGTACCATAAAGACCCGTTTCGGCAACATTCCCGCGCACGACATCGCTTCGTTTCGACGGGCTGTGTTGCTGGACGACTCGTGCTTCATGCTGACAATGGACTTTTTGATGAATCAGAACGGCATCGGTGGAGTTAACCCATTATACTCGCGAATGGTCGACGAAGACATGAAACGAAACCTGATCGACTCCACGTCGCCGAGTCAGAGGGAAAACAGAATTGTGCTGTTGCCTGTGTACTTAGACAAACATTGGGGAGGCGTCGTTTTCAATTTTGATGACAACAAGCTAGTGTTCTATGATCCCATGCAAACCAAATCTATGAAGCCATTAGAGTGGTCGTGAACGAGTTCTTTGGCGAGTACGTATCGGGACTCGAAATACTACGCCAGCGTTCTCCAAAACAAGAAGATATGACCAAAGCTGCGGGCCACTTACGCTGCTGTTTTTTTATCGATGGTTCTTGGTATTCCCGTCCCAAATGTACAGCAGGAAACAATCGCTTATCTACGATTTCGCTTCATTTTCCTCACGACCAAGGGTGCATTTTGCAGCGATACTGATGCTGCCATTGACGTTGCTGAAGACTCGTCATAACTACATAATACACCTTCATTTTCTGCTTAATATGTTCACGGTATGCGTCATATACTGTTCGAAAAGAAGCGTCAACGTCCTTGTTGTCGTCGACGACAAGAAACTGCACATCGACCACTGCGACGGCCACGACTAAGTTATCATAACATTCGCTTAACATTCAAGTAACATCATAGCAATCTCTTCAAAAGGCTGCAAATGTAGACATTTGGGCAGAATATATGTCGTACTTAGCATGATAAAATTCGCACTTAGGATTGGTAATTTATTTCGTTGGTGGTACGTTGGTGCAGAAATTGGTCGATTTCACCTACTCGTAGGTGAAATCGTTGGTGACAACTGTCCTTCTTATGCAATCTCGTTGGTGACGCTAACACCAGTGACCCAGTCGGTAGCACATACTGACTTGAAGTTATTCATCAAAAGAGAGACGCATTTCACTGGTCACAATTTCGATTTCATCACAGTTATGATAGAGGTTTTCAGGCCCTCGTTTTTGTCTTGAATTTTTGTGTGGCTTGCCGAAAGACCATTTGTCATCCAATATCATTCGATCAACCTTGGCATCGAGTTACTGTATGCACATCCACGCAGGTAAATGTTACAGTATGCGTGCCATCGAGGGGTCTACTGAAACTTCATCACTGCCCCAGTACTCGTCATTTTCAAAATGATTAGCAGCCCTTCATGCGTAGAACATTCCCAGACATTATATAGTCCCGCTGGACTATATTGCGTTCGGGAATGTTGTGCAACTCCTCCGAAACGATTCACTTACTTAAAGTAGTAAGGCAACGTTCGAACTTTGATATAATATGGATACAGCTATTGACTCAATATATTTGAATCGAACACCCTGAAATGAGACCGCTCAAAAAGATCGTACTTGATGGAAACATATTTGGAGCAATTGTTCCCCTTGCCAATACAAAACGTAATAGAAGTTGATTGGCAGATGTTCGCAAGGTATCTCACTTCCACCAGCGTCTGAAACAAGCTCGTCTCTTCAACAACATCAAGAGAAGACACGACGAAGTGGACGTGCGAACCAAGGCCAATCCGTCTCCATAGGAGCTGAGAGAGATTGCAGAGATGACCAAGTCCAGGAACCCGAAACTGGCTAACCGGATGGTCATTCTCCGAGGCACCAGAAACGTACCAACAGTCGCTGCAAAGCCAACTTCTGGGACCGAGACGTGAACGCCGCCATCAACATGCTGGAGCTGTTGAAGAGCGAGGTGCAAGGGCATGGACGCATGGCGCCATTCAAAATCGTAGATATATCACTGATGTGAACGCTGTTTTACAGTGCATTCATTTTCCACGGGAACAGAAAGATATTTTATCATACCAGGAGCTAAGCACTTCAGGAAACAACACCGTTGTTCAAAATCACCGGCAAATTTCGATGCCTCGATGCCAGATTCGCTGAGCATTGCTCAATAAGCCATGCCGGAGTCGCATTGATTAGTTGCATACCGCAGGAACACGAAGATTTTGGTGTATTCAGCTTCGCGGCCAAGCCGTGGCCAAATGAAACGGTTAAGATAAACGTGATTTGATGGCATTTGCCGAGCATCACGGCTTTCTGCTGCAATCGATCACGGATCGATTACAATCTTGCCGTGATCCGTTGCTGGCGCCTTGAGGCCGTTGACACTGGGCCCAGGCAAACACTCCTGCGCTTGCAGCATGATAAGCTCAGAGAGAACAATCAATCACATATGCAGCGACTGTCGGAATACTACAGCAAGCACCACGACATCGTTCTGTGTAGACGTAGGAGTTGCCAAACGTCCCCATAACCACACCACCCAATTAATATTGCGGTGGTATAGCAAGCCACAGCGAAAACGCCAGTTGAGCGCCGTTTTCACCATTCGTGCGATCTACCCTCCATCCACATGTCACCAGCGACGCTCACCGAAATATGAACGCTGCGTGAGCTATTCTGGCCAAGGTCCCATGCCACAAATCCAGCTTGCTGCATATATCCTCTCAACAGCGCAAGCACGAATGGCCGCGGTAGCTCCACTCGACTCGCGATGCTGCACTGAGTTCGTAGTCTTCTAGCCGACGCTCAGCACTTCGCTGCACATTTCCAGCGATATCTGACGCTAAGCACATGTTTCTATGAAAGATGTAAATACAGAAAGACAAAGCTTATATGAGTAAATATCCTATTCTTTCCTCTCTGTTTATTTGTAACGACGAACTCCCATATTGCAAAATCAGCCGGATACCTTACAGAGAGTGCCACGTGGGGGAGAGCGACGGGGTATACAAATTTCCGATAGTACGGCCAACGTCGTGTCGAGGCAGAGGCGAACAGTGACAGCGTCGACCAAGACTCAGCAGTAGATCCGCCGCCCCGCCCTCAAGTCAAAAGAACTCCCACCACTTGCGCAGGATGGACAAGGCGCTGTTGACCCGCGCCACCAGTAAAGATGACACGCCGACACCCGGTTATCTCTATGGGGAGATCGCGCGTATGACGCAGCACAGTTATGACACCTGCACTAAGGTGCAGGATTTCCTCATCTCCCGCGTCAAGAACAAGCACCACACCATCAAATACAAGGCGCTGCAGGTCATCAAGCACGTGTGCCGCGAGGGTCGCGTCGACTTTAAGCGCGAAATGCAGAAGCACATCCCCACCATCAAGGAGTGTCTGCGTACGTACACTCTCGAATTTAGCTCTTATTTTCGGGTTATTTAGAACTAGTCTAATGCTGTACTGACTGCTATAGAGTTCCGCGGCGTACCTGACCCACTTAAGGGCGACGAGTACTACCGTCGTGTCCGGGAAGCGGCCAAGGAGGTGCTAGACGCTATCTATGACACGGACAATGCTCCTGGACTGGGTGGTATGGGCATGTCTGCCCGTATCCAGGGAGTGGGTGCAAACCCTAATGATAATGGAGGCGGTGGCTCTGGCTGGAGCTCCAAGATCTGGGGCGGCAAGAACTCGAACGATAGCTCACTGCCCCCTCCGCCGATGGCCGGCCCGCCTATGGGCGGATACAATGGAGCTGCCCCTCCTGGAGCTCCGTACGGGTACCCTACAGACCCTAATCAGGGCAGTTATGGTGGACCACAGCCTTACGGTGGCCCTCAGCCTTACGGCCAACAGCAACCTGACTACTCTCAGCAAGGATCGTACGGGGGCCCTGGTGCGCAGTATGGGGGAGCGCCACCGAACCAGTATGGTGGTGCTCCACCTCCGTTTAACGACCAGAAGTTCTCTGGCATTGGTAACCCCATGTACCAGGACCCACGCGCAGATGAGAAGGGATTCTTTAAGGGACTGAAGGAAAAGGTGGCGTCCAAGTACAATAAGTCGGATAAACCCACGTTCGGCGGCGGCCCGCCTGGATCATCTAACCCGCCTGAAGGATGGAGCTTTGCTACGAACCGTGGACCTACCAGTGGGAACTACGGCCCGACTCCTGCCCCGTATAACCCTGAGGAACCATACCGCCCGACTGGATACACAGGAGGAGGTTACCGACCTGGAGCCTACGGACAAGATCCGCGGGAATCTGCCAGCTCGCAGCTCCGTGAGAAGTCTTATGGTACGTCGCTCTGGTACGAAGAGTACTTTTGAACCACTAATATCTTATCTGTACGCTTGATATCTAGATGGCGACCGCAAGAAGGGTCGTGTCGGTGGCGCATGGAGTGATGCTGATGTGCCATCGATTGGAAACACGGGTGGAATGCCGCAGAACAGCGGCCACGAGAACCGGACTCAGAGCTTCAATGGCAGCACACGCGATTCTCGCTCGTATTCGCGAAATTCAGACTACGACTACGACGACAACAAGCGACGCGAGCCTTCTCAGGCTCCGAGACCTTTCCCTCAGGCTCCTGTACTCACAGGTCAAACGTCAGGTGCACAGTCGGATGGATCGTACGAGCGTAACCTGGTTACAGCTCTGTGTGCTCCAGGTGGCATGCGTGCTATTCCTCCGAAGGACAAGATGGACGCGTTCTTGAAGAGCGCAATTACTCTGGACGCCGAGATCGTTGGCCCGATTCTGGAGGATTGCTTGTCAGATGACCAGTGGACGGTTGTATCGAAGGCGCTGGCGACAATCGACGCTTTGCTCAAGACAGACGGATGCGAGGAGTTTGAAGAGTACTTCAGTGAAAACTCGAGCGAGATCGAGTCGTGTACCAAGTCTGACAAGGCTGCAGTGCGTGACCGTGCTGTCAAGGTCCTGAACCATTTGGGCATTTCTGCTGGCCTTGGAGCTTCTACGTCCAGCCGCGAGTCGTCCAAGAAAAACAAACCATCTAGTCACAGGAAGCAGCCAGCTGCAGAGGCGGATCTCTTGGGAGGTTTTGATGACACCCCTTCCACTGGTGACAATGACTCGCTCTTTTCCGGACTACAGACAAACGCTCCGCAGCAGTCAGCACAGGAAACCGCTCAGCCTACTCCTTCGACGAACGATGTCACTGATATGTTTGGCGGACTGCAGCTTCAGAGTAGCACAGCGAGCGCGGCATCAAACCCCGAGCCGTCCCAACCAGCCGCACCTGCTGTCCCTGCCGCCCCGGCAGTGCCCGCTCCTGCACCGTCAGCGAACAAAACGATGGTACTGGACCCGCTTCTTGAACCCGTTCCAGCGGCACCTGCGATGAACCCCCAGGGCTTTGGTGGCCCCATGAACATGAACATGAACATGATGAACTTCAGCACACCGCAGCAAATGGCGCAGATGCAGCAGATGCAACAGATGCAGTACATGCAACAAATGCAACAGATGCAGTACATGCAGCAAATGCAAATGCAGCAGATGCAAGGCATGGGCGGCAACCCAGGCTCTCAGGTGATCGGAGCTGCGATGACTCCCACGGGTTACATTGCCAAGACGATTCAGGAACCGACTGATGGTCTTGCGTCCGACTCGGGCTTTGGATTCATGAAGAAGAAAGACGACTCGTTCAACTTTGTCAAGGACGCCATGAAGAACAGTTAGGCGGTGACGCGTGTATAGTACACCCTGAACTTGCTTCGACGGTAGTAGGAGGAGCGGGGATCGACGTCGTATCTACAGGGAAGAGGAAATCAAGACTCCAAGTGCAACACCTGGCTGCTTGGACGTTGTGAACGTGTCAAGTACCGGACCGTCAATGTAGATGAATCAAAGCCGAAGGGAGAAAGAATACAGAGTGTTTGAGCTGTGCTGACGTTGCCGTTCTCACCTGTCAGCTCTCGTGTTAGGCGCGGAGTTAGTTTGTTGTCCCAAAGCGATGCTCGTGGTACTGCCATAGTCTGTGTAAGACAGCATCAACTGTTTGTTCCATCCAGATCGCCACTCTAGTGTCCTTGTCCTTACAGTAATGACTCAGTGCTTCAACCAGCTACACGTAGCACAAAACTCAGACGCCACCTCACTCTAAGCGCTAAAATGACACTTCGTTACCTGGTTGAATACCTTGGACGGCTCTCCGTTCTCCTCAAAGCTTAAGCCCTCGATCACTACGCCATAAGTATCAGCGTCACATCCTTCCCACCCTGCATCATTCTATTCTTCTGTATGCTTGTTACCTTGAACGAGGCAATCCATATCTTCCTCTTGTGCCTTGATCATCTTCACTAGCACCGCCACCAATGACCTCACAAGGTTATTCACTGCTACGTGCTCTCGAAGCTCAGCTATCCCTATCGCCCACTCCTGCAAACGCTGCCCCGCTAGCAACTGCCGTAAATTTGACACATGGGTCGATACCACGTCGGAGAATTCCGAGTCAACATCTTGACTCTCTTCTTCGTCACTTGAAGCAAAGCTCGGCTCATAAGAAGGAGAGGGCGAGAGCGACTCGTAGTCAGACTGAACAGGACGAGAACTGCCACCTCGCTTCATAAAATACGTCGCCAAGGCAAAGCGCATGATGCTACTGGTCATCTCCATGGCCTGTGAGCGCGGAATTCAAGAGTGAATGTCACTTCAACTTGCTTGGTAGCTATTGATACAGTTTCTGATCAATTCTCCGGCGATATTAATATTCATGTTCGCGACGAAGCATCGACGCAATCTCACTAGACGAACACTGTAGCGTTGACGATGAAATGGTTTTTGATAGTAAATACTGTCTATAGTCAATTGATTTTACACGACTTGGGCTGGCTGGCTTGATGCAGCTGAAGCTGTGTTCGATTGGCCTTTAGGTACAATAAGCACATCAGACGGACGTTTGCGATGCCGCAACGCCAGTCCGCTGATCTCGAACTGATCCAGCAGTTCGGAGCTGTTCAAATATTTGTTGCCGATGTTGAGTAAGTCACACTTGAGCAACCTGTGTGAAAACGCTTCGTCGTCCAGGAGTATGCGAGCCAAATGGTGTGGTTTGAAGTTCCTTTCAATGTCGGCTTCACGACTCTTCCCTCCAAAGAAAAGCAACACAGCCATGACTACTAGCGTCGCACATCCCACTAACGTGAGCATGGCCGAAAGCTGAGGTACTGCCAACGTTAAATCCACGTACTCGACATTAGCATCAAACGCCAGCGTCGTCTGACTTAACTTCTGCTTCACCACACCATGTTGGAATAACCAAAACAAAGCAGACTGATACGCTGGCTGTAGAGATCGCTCGGAATACAAATGCGAACTCTGTACACGGTCCATGAATACTCCACGTTCGCGTTCACATCGAGAGCCATCGACTGGAGTCCAACCGGTAGTGTCTTCAAAATTTTTAGGGAATACAAAATCGCTCTTGAGGATATCGCTCATGTCCACCTCCTGCACGTTTGAAGTCACGAGAGGTGTCCATAATAATAAAGAAGGGGAGTACGCAGTCAAGTTGCTGACAGGCACATGGTCACTTCCAACGATGACTTCTCTTGAGTCGTCGGAGAGAGGGAACGCGACGCCATTGCAGTCGCTCGCCTCACACGACGCATCATACTTGGAAGCCAGGTCTGTAGTTTCCCACGACAACCGACCGGCTGTGACTTGGTAGATTTTTCTCGCATTCGTTAGCATTACAACCAGCGCATCACTGCTAGTGTCGTTCACAAGCGAGGAGCTGATAGCATCGCCAATGATCCGCTTGGCAAAACTGAGAACCAGCATAGAAGTGTTAGAACGGTGAGCACATGCGCTACCGTCGACTTTCATTGTAGCTTCAAAGTCTTCTAATCCATCTGCATCCAGGCAAAGTGGTAAAGCGCGGACTTGGCTGCCTTCGTCGACTGGAGCGGAGGTCAATGCTGCTCCAACGGGGCTAACTACGCAGCCATACCGTCCGCACTCTTCCTTCGCATTGATCTCAAATAAACCATCAAGCGCCTGAGATCCATACACCACAGACTGAGTTGTGTCGTTAAGGACCTTCACTTCTCGACGCAAATATCCTTGATCCATGGGGATCTCCAACGTTACGCCCTCGAATATCAACTCGCCACTGTCTGTTGTCCATGGGAACTTGACAAATTCCAAACTGCTCTCAGATATACTGAAGTTCCTCAGATGCGAACGTGTATTCACAGCAAGATTCAAAGTGGCGTTTGTAGCTTTGACGAGTGCTTGGGTCGTACTTGAATCGCCAGATGACGCAGAGCCAAAGTCGTCAGGTAGATTTAGCAGTTCAAACGCACTAGCATTGGCTTGAACGTCTTGGTCACGGTAAAAATCATCAGTTGCGCGCATGGCGTACTTCACGAGGTTCCGAGCAGCAGTCAATTGCATCGGCATCGTCGCTTTTTCGGTCGAGTTTACACCATTATTCAGTGATACAGTTAACGTATTGGTATCTGTGTTTTCTGGCGCATACGGGAGCATTTCGCTAAGCCATTGACGGGATGGAAAACCATAGTTCAGCTGTGCTGGAAGTCTCCTTGGCGACAGTCGATTGCACTGTCCTGCTGCATTTTCGGCCGTCGCATCGGCCATTTGCATGGCACTTCGAAGAATCGTATCAGCACTTGATGCTCGATCCGATGTGATGATCGGAGTGCCCTCATACTCTGCCAAGTCGCTATCTCCAATTACTGCATCCACTCGCGCTGTTTTCTCACTCACGTAGACCGCCATAAACCCATTGAGTAAGAAGTAAAGCACCACGTTACCCAATAATGCCAAACCAAATCGAGACCATCTCGAACTCGTCTCCTGCATCGCCACTTGGGTCAAAAAGCATAGTAGAATTGCAGGAACTACCGCTGACACTAGCGCTATCAAAGGTTTAACCACTAGCGAAGTGATTAATCCAACGAAGAAATTATAAGCGTCGATATCCTCCGTCCCACTGCTCGAAACTGGATACGACTTGAGTACGATGCCTTCCTGTAAGAAATACATTATCACCACGATCACCGCGACGCCTAGAACTGTTGTCAATAGTATCCGATGTCGCTGTAGTCGTACTAGCAGCGGCACTGCATTGGGTGTTAGCTGTCGCTGGTACAAGAAATCCTTGGCCGCTGACGTTGCGGAGGAGGATTCGACGTCGAACATCCTACTGCCATTGCTGCGACTGCCTTGACTGTAGCTGGAGCTGTTGGAATGCGACAGCGAGATCTGCGAGACCGCTAGTGGGGAATCCATGGGGCCCCTGAGTCTCGCAGTGGAGACCGAGGTAAGGCGCTAAGTCGGTAGTGACGGGCGCCAACTGGGAGATCCTCTGCCTCCCCAATGGAGGTCCCAGCTGAAGGACAGACTGGCGTGTGCAATGCGGTCCTGACTTTTAGAATAGAGCTTGTGCAGATGGTCGATAAGAGCACAAATGGTGAGATGCAGACAGCGCAGGTCAAGTTGGAAAGTGCTCGTCTTATTTGCCATCAGGCTCAATAAAAAAAAGGTTCTAATTTTATTGTCGCGCAATCTGATTGGCTCATGATACTATTTTAGAAGCTTTTTGAAAACGGTTAGAAAAATAGCCGGATCGATTGAGTAAGGACATTTAGTTCAGCTCGCCACGCTTGCAACCTCTTCTGGTTGCCTGTCTTGATTCCATGGGCTTCAATGGCTCCAAGAGCAGGAAGTTGTTGTGGCCTATCGCGAATTCTTAAGAGACACATCGGAGCCGACTAGATTCTGGGTGAAGGCTGCGAACTTTAGCTGCCTTCAACTCAAGTCAACACTGATATGGCGAATGTTCCTCCTCCTCAGTGTACCACTTTCGCATAGCAAAATGCTCGTGTATCTACGCGCCCATCGCGATCTGAACTTCGGTGTGTGGGATTTATATGAAGAGTACTAGAAGTAGTATAGGATAATAGATCTCTCGAGTTGAAGTCAACAACGAAATATCTGAAAAGGATCATACGGTAGATGGATATCCATGTGATACAAAAGCTCAGCTGCACCAAGTTGGTAAACAACCATCGAGTCGATACTCTATGTTAGTTTCTTTAAAAAAAAACAATTCGAGTCGGTAATACATAAGTTTTATTCGAGAGCAAGTGGTCAGCACTTAGCGTTAGAAACTGCATACGGGTCAGTCTTATCAAACGAGGCCCCCTTCGTCCGTATCGTGCCGACGTTGCTTATTGCTGTCCATGCGTTCGTAGTTACTGCCTTGAGCACTATTCTGTACGATCAAACAATAAGGAAAAGTTCAGCCATCGAAATATATGTATTACTACAATCGTTGCAACGTGGTGCCGCGACTAGCAGTACGTCAAGAAGAAGGAAAAAAAAAGTAGCTTATCTATACCGGTGAGAAGACTTGCTTGTCATGAGACCGGAACGAGTCCTTCTGCACGTACACAAAACCAGTCACGTCAGAGGACGACTAAATGGCAAACATGTCTCTATCTGAGGCACTTACCTCGACAGGCGGAGGTGACGCGAGCTGGTTCTCCGAATTCGGGTCGCTGGTCAGTCCTTGGTAGTCCGGCTCCAGTGGGCCACGCTCCAGCATCGCTGGTTGCATGTACATGTCCTCAAGTACGCGTTCCAGGTCGTCCATTTGACGCGACCGACGCGAATCAACCATCACAGCTTGGTCTAACGGCAAGTTCAACGCGATCTTCGGGTAACGCGACGACACGAACAGGTGGAAGGCTAGAGTCAAGAAGGGCAAAACGATCGAGAAGGTCGCTGGAAGTGCCACTTGCTTGGTGGCCAGTACCGACGCCATAATGATCTGAGAGAACATGAGCGCACCGATGATGAAACGATACAGCGATGGGAAGAACGTGCCCGACGTCTGCGTCGACGGATCATGCACGCACATGACAGCCCAGCGGTACACGAAGTCCGATAGTACCAGATACACCAGAGCAAAGTAGTTGAGGATGGGTGCAATGGCACAGAACACCAGTACCAGCATCAACACCAAATAGTACTCAGAAACTTGGTCGGATGCACTGAAATCTCCGGGATTCGCCAACGAGTTGAGGCCAAACCAAGCACTCGAGCGTTCACGAGGAGTCAGTTTGGGTGCAAAGACTTGGTAGATAGCAGCCTTGACGATCGGTGTCACACGTAGCAGAACTAAAGTCAGATTGAGTCCCGTCTTGACCAGTAGATAAGTGATGAAGAAGGAGGATTGGACAGCCACGGAGTCACTAATAAGAGTGAGAATAGCACTCGCATCCGTCAGATTCGTGTCACTGGATCCGATAACAGCGTCGATAACTGTACCACCGATAATCGGCAGCAAGAACGTCACGTAGATCTGGTAGATCACCAGCTTGTTGAGCAGCGAGGCATCCACTTGGGACGCAAAAGAATGACCTTCACGCTTGGAAAGAATACCGAAGATAATCGGAGCTAGAGCTGTCATAACGGACAGCATGAGCGGCGACAGTTGCTCCAATACCGACTTGATCCACGGATAATTGTCGATTGCAGTCTCCAGCCATGGCCACTCTTTCTCTAGCGTCGAAACCTTAGCAAAAGACACCACAATACCCGTAGGCACCGTCCATAGCAAGATGATCGCTGTACTTAGAGCCATGGAGATCATGAACCACGTGTCTTTAGTGTTCTTGGACAGTCCAATATTCGGCCATACTACATCATCAGCGTGCGCTGCAGGCTCCACGTGCATCTGAGTCGGATCAGCACTTTGCAGGATCTGAGTACAGGACTGAGCAGCTTTCAGGCTTCGGAAGGTCACGAATCCTGCAGGACGCATGATACCCAACGCCTTCTTATCCTGTCGCTTCAGACTCTTGATATATCTCGATTCCACGACATCTCCGTCCAATTCTTCTTCCTTGTAGGCGAAGTTGATACTTCTAGCAGATTCAAAATTCTGGTTAAATCCTAAATTTTCGTCATCGTTGCTAGATTCAACCAACTGACGCGCCACTGCTGTTTGATTGCGTAGAATAGAGCGAACTTCCTTCTCCACCGCCTTGTTGAGGTCTTTAAGCTGGTCTTGATACAGCTCCACGGCGTCCACTTTCTCGCCTCCTAGCAGCTTGTTACTCGTCATCACACGCTCTCCAGTCTTGGCACTTTGAGCGAGCACATGCTCCAGTTTGTTGCGCACTTTGACTCGCTCAGCCACGAGTTTCTCGAGATCGCGACATTCCAGTGCAACGTACACGTGAAGTACTGATTTAGGGAAGAGCAGTTCCAGATAATTGCGCAGTGTTTGTTGCGTGCAGAGATTCGGAGGTAACCCGTTAAGAACCACCGTGTATTGCTGCGAATGCTTCCTGGACATGAACTCGTGACGACGACGAATATATTCCTCGTATTCTTTCCAAAGCAGGAAACACGTGGTGAGCGAGACCAAGTACATGGTGATCACTGTGAACCAGAAGCGCCACATCTCGTCCGTGTCTAAATGCGACAGTGTCATGCGGTACAGCGCGTCCAGCGAGTCTCGCTTGGCGTAGTAGTAGATGGGGAAGTTGGCGACAGAGCACAGAATGCCCACGGCTGTCACCTTCTCACAGAGGCGAAGGAATCGCAAGAAAAAGAGTGTGTCCATGCCACATTGATCCAGAATGTCGTCGTCTCGAGTGAAGAAGAGCAACTTAAGCCAGCCAAACACTTTGGCATCGTGACAATTTGTCACCGTCCGGTTGGTCGTCTCCGGTTTGCCTTCGCGGCAATAATAGGCACGTTGCAGCTTGACACGACCCAATTCGAAGGCCAGCCAGCCGATGGCGCCGATCACGAAATACACGCGCATTCCGTCCAAAATGGTCGAGGACGGCGTCAAGTCTTCGGTGGCCGCCGACTCGGTCACGCTCGCGGCTGCACTCGCCGCGTCCGCCATGGTTTCAGGTCTTTAGTTACGGGCAAGATAGAGACCTGGTATTCTCCGGCGGAATATTGGGAAGTGGCTGCTGAGGTGGGTTACCGCAGGACAGGCGTTTTGGTGGCTTTGGGGTTGGCATAGAAAACCGTTGGCTGACTGGAATGACACACGCAGAAAAGGCGCGAGCATACAAAAAGCAAGTGAAATATTCATCTGAATTCCGAGGAAAGAGCCAGCAAATGGGTTTTGCCCCAAAAGTGTGAGTAGTGCTGGATGGCGCGCAAGTTACACATACTGGTAGTGTTTCGCTGTGGCTATTGAGGCGACTTGTGTGAAGACAAGAAGGCGTAGGTATCTTTGAGCTCACTTAGACGCGGATGTAGCCATGTCAACTTGAATCAGAAGATCATGTTTACAGTCGAGTGTCTAAGATCGCGCACGATCTCGTGCACACGAGCGAAAATTGGAATTGGATTTTAGATCCTCTGCTGTAGATTCCAGGCACACCTGCCCAGGTGACCTGGAAGGCGATGATGGCAAGTGTAGCACTGTCGCGGCTGGACTGGCACCCACCACTGCGCAGGGACTGTCTTGAGAGATTAGCTACTGCATCAGATTGGGCTTCTCTGAATCAGCCTCATATCGATAGACTCGAATCATGTAGTCAGGGAACGCGAACAATTGTTTGTTACATGTAGCAGACAATGTAACAGTTATCGCCAGAAAGAGAACGACAGCGGCTGATTCGTGACAGTGTTGCTGCCAACTTGGCAGTGTATTTGCTGTGAGGACAGGTCTGAAGTGCATTTGTGCTTCCATTGGACGTACAAATGCACTTCAAGCACCTACTTAGACTACGAGACTCAGGGAGATGTTGTGTTTCTGTTGTACTTAGCTTCGCTCAATGGACACTCTGAGCTGTGGTACGGAACGGAGGTGCACAGATACCTACCTACCTACACGTACAGATTTAAATCAGTGGTTTAAAATCGCCAAGGTTGCATGTTCGACCACCGCGACGACATTGAAGACGGCTACAGGTTGTGCAATGGCTACATGCACAGCAATACCATCTTACGTCATACAGTAACCTCCGCCTCTTCATAATCAGATCTTCCGATCTCTTCTTCGCCATGGACGACCTCAAGGTGACGCTGCTCTCTTCTCCAGCCCCCGACGCCTCCACTCTCTCCGAAGAACCGTCTCCTCCTCGTCGATCCCCTCGCATCCGCGACTTTAAACTGCGCGGACGTCACTCTCTCCCCAATTGGATGTATCCTCCAGAAGGCGAGACTCGTCGACTCATGGTGCCCCCACACTCAATCCAAGCCACTCGCGACTTCCTGGAGGTCCCCAAGGAACATCTAAGCGAGTGGCCGTCCACTGCCATCTGTGGCAATGATATCCTAGCCAGTGTGCTCTATTCATCGGGAATTGTGGCGGCTAAAGCCGGCAAACTGACACCTCTGGCTCAGACCTTCGTGGCTTTCGTGCTCTATCTCTTCCGCTCTATCTACGAGGAAGCCGTGACTGCCATCCCCTTAAACGGAGGCTCTTATAATGTCCTACTCAACACAACGTCCAAGAGAACAGCAGCAGTGGCTGCAACACTCGGCATCATCTCGTACTTAGCCACGGGTGTGGTCTCCGGCACCTCTGCATTGCGATATCTCGATACTCAAGTGGACGTGAGCGTCGTGCCCGGTACCGTCGCGCTGCTCTTTGTGTTCGCCATGCTGTCGATCATTGGAATCGCCGAGAGCGCAACCGTAGCCTTGATAATATTCATCGCCCATGTCACCACATTGACGCTTTTGAGCGGATTTTCACTCTACTACGCAGTGCAGAATCCGGATATTTTTTGGCAGAATATGAAGACGGATTTCCCGGATGTCAATGTGGCTGGCGATGTGATCAAGGGGAATCTACTAACGGGGATTTTCTACGGATATTCGTCCGCTATGTTGGGGATCACCGGGTTTGAAACCTCAGCCCAATTTGTCGAGGAACAAGCACCTGGTGTTTTCAGAAAAACTCTGAGGAATATGTGGATATTCGCTACATTTTACAATTTGTTACTGTCCTTCTTGTCACTCGCAGTACTGCCGTTAGAAGGACCTGGAGGGATCTACAGTGACAAGGATGTGGTGCTAGCAATGATGGGTCGTGTGGCTGCTGGCAAGTGGTTGGAGAGTTGGGTATCCGTTGACGCCTTTGTGGTGCTGGCTGGAGGAGTTCTGACGTCGTACGTGGGTATCACTGGTCTTGTACGTCGCTTGGCGTTCGATCGCGTGCTTCCGGCGTTTCTAACACGCACCAACAAGTGGAGAGGCACGAATCATTATATTATCCTGCTCTTCTTCGCGCTACAAGCCAGTCTAGTTATCTTACTACATGCAGATGCGACGGTACTCGCTGGCGTGTTCACGTTTGCGTTCCTCGGTGTCATGGCTCTGTTCGCTTTTGGTTGTATGCTGCTAAAGTTGAAGCGTGAAGATATCCCACGGGACGTGCATGCTCCGTGGTGGAGCTGCATCTTTGGACTGGTGATGGTGCTACTTGGTCTACTGGGGAATCTTCTGGGGGATCCAGCGATCTTTACGTATTTTGCTCTGTATTTCGTGGTGTTTGCCTCGACGATGTTCATCATGCTGGAACGGGTCTTCATTCTGCGTATTTTGCTGTACATTATGCAGCAACTCTTCCCGTCTAGTAGTGCTCGTGATGGTGCAGTCGAAGATATTGAAACAGCGAAGTCTCAAGGCAAAGTGAAGCCTGGATCTCGGACTGGAGCTAAAGGTGGTCGTACGATTACTGCGGTGCTGCAAGAAATCCACCTCCCTCCGATTGTATTCTTCCTCAAGACCCCAGATCTGCCGTTGCTTAACAAAGCAATTCTCTACGTGCGTAAGAACGAGCAGACGCATAATTTGTACGTCGTACACGTGAGTGAAGACACTAACTTAGACGAAGAGGACAGTGCCGAAGTGACTGAAGCGGATGTGCAACGACGCCAACTTGAACGAGAGAATGTGGAGGATATGCGAGAGATGACGCGCGTGTTCGACCTCACGTATCCGAAAATTAAGATCGACTTTGTTCACATTTGCGGCTCGAGTTTCGATACTGCGCTTGTCCACTGGCTGGCAGAAGAACTGCAGGTTAAACCCAACATGATGTTCATTCGACAGCCTGGCACCAAGCACATTCATCAGGTTGCTGCACTAGGTGTCAGAGTCATCACTGGCTAGAAAAGTGAAGCTCCTTCTCAGACTGAGGCAGAAATGAGGTTCCTGGAGTGAGCTTTATCGTGTGCGTGGCAGTCGCGAGGAGCCTAACAAAGCTGACAACGGTAGAGTACGTTGTACACTGTTGGGCATCAGCATGATGAACTCCCGATCTAGAATTTGTGTCCATCGTCGCCCCGATGCTGCTGAGTTTCGCTACACGTGCACGTAAACTTCTTGGGTTACACCAGATGACCCACCTCTGCCTCTTGGCCTTCAATTTCCGGACCCGCACGCGGCTCTCGTCAAAGCTCGCTGGAATTAGCCTTCAATTTCAAGGAACAGCGCTGCTTACAAATATATTTTGTCCAGTCGTAAGCCCTTCAAGTGAATAGCTGTTCAGTGAGTTAATTAACTCGCAATTTCATTTAGACTACCATTTCGTGACGTGGACTTCGTGTGCTTTAAGATCGAAGGGAAATTACGATATTGCTGCCAAATGATGGCAATCATCCTCACCTGAAACTATCTTGTGTCCGCATTCTTTTTTGTTGTTGTCTCCCTACTTGATATCGTGCACCCTTGAAAGACAAAACGAGATCTCGTGACTGCATGACCATAGGATTGATGCATCACGAAATTTGTTTTCAAAAATGCATTTGACCTGCCTTCAATACAATTTACTCAAACCATCTTTCGCAAAATCCAACATGTTCATCCACAAATACTCTACTATACACATTACTTCTCCTCCACTGGAGCCTTCTGCTTTCTCATGCTGATACGCTCCATGCACGTAAATCTTACCAAGCCGCCTCCTGATTCCTTCCCGTCTTGATCATTTAGGAAACGTGAGATTCTCTGAGCCAGTAGCTGTGACGGGTACTCAATGAGGCGGTAGCTCGCCGTCGCAAGCAGCAAAATCAGACCAAATCGAGCGAAGAGCCGATTGAAATACTTCTTTTGGTGGCTCACGGGAGGGTAGTCAACGACGAAAGAATGTAGCAAGTAAACTGAGAAACTGATCTTTCCCCAGTATCGCAATACACTCCACTCAAACATAGTAGAGATACAAGATGGACGAAGCATCTCGATCACGAAAACTATTGTCATCTGTACACTCACAAAGCCAAAACCCTTAGAAGCTGGTACAGGGTCTTCATGGATCCAGTCGAAAAATAATCCTTGGAAGGACACGCTTAACATCAGCGCAATGGATATTCCTTCAACTATTCGGAGGAGAAGAGTGTGCCACCATCGGAAGTTAAACCCCGTCTTTTTGATCCACAAATCCGACTTCACGAACACTACAGCTCCCAACGAACCCGCCAAAAATGTGTGAAGATGAGGAGCGAGAGGCATGTGACTAGTTCGATACGTATAGCACCCTTCGTGTATGATCCACGCTGATAAAGGAACAGCTCCAAGCCACCAGTAACGACGCATAGCCAGCGCAACCATGACAAAAGCTGGAATCACGAAATAGTAACCAATCTCCAGTGGCAACGTCCAAAAGACGTGAGGACGGTAATCAGTGTAGAGCATCAGCACTTTGGTCAACTCATAGTCTTCGGGTTTCTTCAATCGAAAATACCGGTGCTGGTTCTCGAACGACATACAAGAAAGAACGACTGCCGTCACCGCGAACAACGGATACACGCGAAAGAATCGTTTCTGGAAATAATCCAACAGGGCGATCGTCCATGAGCAAGCTCCCGCTTGTTGTGAAAATAATTTCATGCTCTTCTTCATGAAAAGCCAGGTCAGTAAGAAGGATGACAGCACAAAAAATGCATCCACGGCCACTGAGCCAAGATGAAGCCCATTCGTTGGATACTCGTGTGAGTGCTGCATGACAACCAGAATGGCTGCGAGGCCGCGAATACCATCGAGAAATAGGACTTTGGTCGGTGGGGAATTGGTTGGTACTGGTTTCGCTTCAGGAGCTTTTTCGACCGACGATTTAGTGCTGGCGTGCGCATGTCCTACGAATGGTCCTCCGAATCGGCACTGGAAGTAGATGTCTCTGTATTGGAAATCTCAATCACACTGAGGTGACTGTCAGGGTCTCTATGTGGCAAGTCCTGCCCATTCACTGTAGTGTGTCCAGCGCCTCCTAACATCCCTGCTCAGCTTCAGTTCGCTCGTCGGCGCCTGTGTCGAACTGGGCGAAATGGGAATGGGAATTGAGATCGCCGTTCCCATCATGAAAACCATGATTACTGCGATAATACAAGCAAACGAAGCCTTGCGAGACTGCGCAGTAGACCACATACTTTAATGGGGGATATTCCACTGTGTGATGAAGGTTTTTACAGCTGGATAACCGTGAACTCGACGCCATGGATTTGCCTTCCTTGCTGCAGGCTGCGGCCCGCAGATGTGATTGATCAAAGCGTTGTGGAGCCAGCAAAGTCACGCCAGGATGAACCTTGAGCTGGGCAAATTCTGGATCGATAACTTATTCACGACAAGGTACGGAACTCGATTTTGTTTTAATAATACCCCGATTAAGCAAGAAGAGGCCAATGCTCACTCGATGCTATTGTATCTGAGCTTGCCTTTGATAGGTAATCAACCCTCTGTGTTAGATAGACCCTTTTGCTGAATTTAATCTGGTGTTATTAAACAAGGTATTATTAGTACGTCCCGCATGCTATCCCCGTCACCTAGTGTTGTGTCACGCAATCTGCGTGATGGCAGAGGCTCACGATCCCTGGGCTTGGGCAACGCTCCTCCTGAAGCAAGAACTTCGATTCGAAGCCTTCGTTCTCGCCATTTCGGCCCGTTACATGCATTGATCCTTGTTCTCAAACTCCGTGCCCGTTTACTCACTCCAATCACTGCTACTTCGCACATTTACCGAGCTACTAGTATCACATAGGCCACATGGATGAAAAATGGATCATTGTGATAGTAAACCCTGCGTACACGTATCAACATTTTGGTTCTGGAGATTATCCAGGATGTGTGGTGGATGGGTAAAAAAAAAAGAACGCGAGCCTGCCGCGGAATTGAGTGACATTGTCAATGGCTAAAAAGACTGGGATGCCTCTAATGACTGTGCTGTTAGTATTATAACACGGTAATGTAGCTTAAAGGAAAGCGTGCTATAATAACGGATTCCTATGATGCCCACCAGGTCTGCACATATTGCGAATGAAGGGCGTTTGGTCATTTTTGATTAAAGGTCAGCAATCGTGAACTCATCAATCGCATTGAGACATATTGTTTTGATATGTTTCGAGAACCTCTGGTACACCACCACCGCCCGCTACCCTATCTAGTTTCTCGACTAGCACGATACTAACTTGTGCACAATAGATGTTTTTTGTTGTCAGTGCAGACATCCCGAGTTGATTCCGTGCCATTCCAAATAAATATGCAGAACGGAACCACTTTTACCGAGCACTACACTGTGCAGAACGGAGCAACGATACTAATAGGGTATTTTATTTGAGTGGGGTGTTTTACTGTTACGGGTGTTCTTAACTGCAATGGACGGTTAAATTTTCAACAAAGGTTCAGATTCATGTATGCCAAAGACAAGACCACACTACCGCTCATGATAGTATCCCTCTGTTGTACTGGAAAAAAAAATACGGCGCCGTTCAGCACTGAAATAAGTTATTTGTCTATTTCGATGTGCACCACACAGATTCTTAATTTCGTGCCCAAGCTACATTCGGATCAGTCCCGATCCATTCCGATCCATTCCGAAAAAAAATGGAGTATGCCAAGAGTATTCGAAGTGCCTTGCGCCCCCGGACACTGTTCGCCTCAGTGTGTCCCGAGCTGATAACCGTGAGTCTCCTCTACAAGTCCCATGGCGTCTCCTTCCTGCAGGTGGACGCTCTCGCAGTCCTGACCTGCGCTATGCTGACACAGTTACTTGGCAACCTCAGCGCTGTCTACAGCAATTTTCAACGCACACTGCAACCCAAAGAGCCAGGCGCCAAAGACGACAAGATCATCCTCAAGTAAGCTTTTGATCGCCTGGTTGTTTTTATTCTTAAACTTACTTACATTATTTCTTATTTACTGTAGCTTACTGTCGCTGACACAAGTCCGCCGCTGGTCGTTTTTGTTTTACGGCCTTCAGTTGGCACTACTGGGGCTGACTCACATCCTTTGTGACAAGAGTATTGAAATTACCGGAGTTATGGCAGTACTCGCCACTGTAGCGTTGCTTTACTGCCGACGTGGTGAAGATCCTTTGCCAATAGTGGGTCTGAGGGAAGCTGTGATAGCATGGGCAGTTGGGCCAGTGGCGATGATCGGTACAGCTTTATACCTCGTTGGGGAGGTGCCTTGGGCCGTCGTGCTCTACGCGTACATCGTGATGCTCTTCGCGTGGGCTTTTCTGGTTCTGGAGAGCGCTCGAGACGCCCCATTTGCTCGTCGTATGGGGCGATCGGACACGTCGTTGGCGTTGAGGTTGGGCTTCCAGTGGAGCTTCCAGGGATTCTTGCTGATAATGGTGTCGTTTTACGGCGTTGTACTGGTGACGGGGATCGTGATGGGGCATCTGGGGAACTTTTTACTTGTTGCGACGATCGTCAAGCTCAAGGATATCAGCGAGGACTTCAGACTCGAGAGACTCAATCACCTACCCGACCAATTCGCCAGACTCGCTGTCTTTTTGGGTGTAGGATTCACCTTGTCAATTCTTGCAGGGTTGTCGTAAGCGTAGTTTTGTACATCCACGAAAACTTTCAACAATTTTAACGCCGAATCTCAGCCCACATTTTACTAAATACCAAGAACTGGGTATGGGATTCACGTGGAACCAGTAGAAGCTGGATTGGTATCGGACTCCGCAGGGTTAGATCGTCTACGTTTGTGTCGCATCCAAGACGCATTGGAAGAACTATCTGGAAGCGGATATTCTCTTGTCCAACTTGACTATGAAAAAGGCTCATGCAGAGTACAAATTGTATCAAGGAAGCTCGCCCGTCCGATCAGGATGCTGAACCTTCCGATGCTCCACGAACTGAAATCCGGACTGATTCTCTCAACTATCTACGAGATCTTGTCCAAAACCTTCAACATCAGTCGAAAAAAAAAGAGAGATCTCAGCGCTTTTTAATCTGAAACTTACATCCTTGCAAGCATGTCGATCACTAAAATCAATGCTGCGCTTGCTTCACTGGATTGGAAGCAAGTATCACGAACTCGTCGAGGTCAGATCATCCTCCTATGCGGCGCAACTGAAGCTCAATGGAAAACTTATGTAAAGTGTGATTCTCGAGAATTTAAAGCGACTCAGGACATTCGATCGAGCCAAATGGAATGGATTGACGGCTACATTTACATCGTTGAGCTTCCGTCTCCAGCGCAGGACATTTACAGCTTCATGTTTGGCAAGTATTTGCTGTCTCATCCCGTAGTAGGCTCATATCTCCACACGCATGGGCGAGCTTTCGTTCCGAACCAACAAATTTATGAACCTGACGAAAGTTTCGGGCCTACAGAGGAAACGGGAGTTGCTCTACCGTCGGATTTTCTTCAGTGGTGGCATTGGAGCACTCTGAAGGTCGAAATTGGGATTTTGCGGCATTGGGGTCACTCACCAGGTCAACTTGACTGGAAGGCACAACGTTGGGCTTCATTTCCAGGTGTACGATACGTTCTGTGCGTGACGCTACGCCGTGACATGACAAGCGCCCAGTACAAGCTCTACACGATCGAGGATCAAGGGCTTCACCTTCCAGAGCAGAAGCCGATATCCGTGGTTTTCCCACAAACATATATGAAGTTTGATTCGAGGCGGCTGCTTGGTTTGCAGCTCTCTGACGAGCTGCCCTATGGTTTCCCTGACCCGCTTGCCGTCAATCTGTACGCTGTGTTAGATGATGCTCGGCGCTGAGTTTTGTAGGCAACAGAAATGACTAAGCTACATTTTGAATTCTCATGTTAGAATGGCTGTGCAAGTGTACAATGCTCTATCCAGCAGGTGAGCCACCAGCAGGAGACCCATTGAATGGCGAAGTATCAGCTCCTGCGTGTGTTCTCTTTCGCAATAAACGGAAGAAAGCTCGTGCCACTGTAAACGGCACGCGAGCCACTGGTGACGCTGCTGGTGATGCCGTTGGTGGCGAAGGAAGTGCGTTGTTTGTCTCATTCGCACTGCTTCCACTAGTTTTCCGCAGTGAAAACCCGTGGAAAGCACCAGTGAAACTTGAGTTCTTGGAAGAAGACGTAGGTGGTTGAGGCACTTTGTCTTCATCTTGCACAGACGCAGCTACTTCACTAATACGGTTGATGAGCCACGAGTGCCACATGAGGAACGGGACTTCTTTCGCGATAATTTCACGATACCACATGTCGATCGTGAGACGACTCGATGAGCTGAAACAGCGGTCGTGTAAATTGTTTTCGTTGATGATACTCAACGCCGTTAAGTGGAAATAATGGTGGAGTTTCTTGTGCGTTTCCATCTCCGAATCAGATACTGTAACCTGCGTGCCGTCTTCAGCCACGGTTGTCGTCGGGAAGGGTGAGTACGGCACAGCATTCGCCAAGAGGAACGATCGTCTTCGTTTGATCCTCAATGGTGACGGCATAGCAGGGTTTTCTGCATCACTTTCAGCAGTCTTGGTGTCAGGCTTTGGCATGTCGGACATAATAACCGTATTGAGATCCTTTTCTTCAATAATTTCGTCATCCGAATCGCTTTCTTCGTCGTCGTTGTCAACAATAGCTTGTGAGAAGTAGGAAACGTGCTCCAGTAGCTCGAGTTCGCGCTGAATCCGTTTACATCGCGACTCGGACGACAGTAGCTTCTCGCTCAGTTCATTGCTGCGCACCTGCACATCGTCCCTGGCCTCTTCTGCAAGACGAAGTCGTTTCTTTAACGCTTTCATTTCCTCCTCGTATTTTTGGGCAGCTTTACGCAGCTGACCTTTCTCGTTCTTCAGTTCATTCATTGCACGTTGCGCCGCAGCACGCTCCGCCTCCATCTTTTTCCTGTATGAGACTTCACTTTGGGCTGCCAACGCTTCATACTCCAGTGCTTCCTGTTGCTGCTGTTCCGCCACCTCTTTCCACTGTCTTAACGACGTCAGTTCCGCTTCGTTTGAGCGCTCGACAGCTTGAAGTTCCTGTAATTCTGTCTGCAATTGCGCTATCGTGTCCAAATGATGCGAATATCTCCTCTCACTCCCTGTTGTGGTAGCAGCCCCTCTAACTAGGTCACGACACTCGCAGCGGTCAACAAACTGCTCGAATTCCTCCGCCAGATCCGTTTTCTCTTCCTCTACACGCGCGAATTTGCGCTTCCACTGCGCTGCATCCTGCTGTGCGTGTTCCGTTCGGCGCTGCCACATATCCCTCTCCACCGACAGCTCCTCGGTCTCAGTCTCCAACTGAATCTTCAAAGTCGCCACCTCCATCTGCATCTCCTCATTGGCCTCTAGTAAACCCAGTCCATATTCTGCCGCTTGTCGAAGTTCCTGTAGAATAAAAGCATATTAAGCTGGGAAGCGCAAAAAAATCCTTCTCGTCAGTACAGCAACGTACTTGCTCGCGACGGTCCAGTAGCAGCTTGAGTTTATCTATTTGACTCTTGTCATCCACGGAAATCAATCCGTCCTCACTAAATAAGAAGTAAATCCATAACGATTAATACACAGAAGAATGTGTAAGTGAACCAAACTGATAACGGTCAATGGGACGGCGAGGAAACTGGTGCAGCGCGCACCCGACGTAGAGTTCCTCATGTGTTTCTTCAGGGTTAGACGAGTGGCACTTCTTCTGGTTGGGGTGATCGTCCATGTCCAGCGCGGCGTCGGTGGAGAGACGCATCGTGCTGCACAACCAGGTGGGGTGTATTGCCAAGTGCGGCAGAAACTGATACCCGTACGAACTTTTCGCGTCGGGAGGATCCCAAACTACATCTTGCCTCACCTTAAGTACGAATTGGGTAGGTCCCATTCGTCGAATTGGGTCCAATGTAAGGAGTACCGGAATTCTCTATTGAGGACTGATAGGCAAGAAGCAGTGCCAGTTCACAACGAAAGAGCACAACAACTGTTTGGTCATGCTAGCAAATGTTGCCCAACTTGTATTGAACATGTGTTTTAAGAACAATTCATTGGGGGTCACGGGTGCTCGGCCAACTTGAGTCAACTTGACCAAATAATGTCTTGATTGCCTATACCGTTGCGAAGCCATAATTTTTTTTTTTTTGGTCGCATTGTATTGTGTTATTTCTCATGAATGGGATACACAGGAAAGATCAATGTACTGAAACCAGCAATTCGGACACTTTTCACATTTAGAAAAACTCGATGAAAAGAGTCTGAAGGGTAAATGACTATTGTAATGGTGTTGATGATGCTCACGTTACTAAAGAGTATTGAAAATGAACACCTCCTGAGAAGATGCATTGATAACTTCAACTCCATCAAACTGAACGAAGGCGACCATGTATTCGGTTGTTTGAATTGTTGACTGAAACAATCAAATTGAGCTTATGACATCAGCTCATTTTTTTTTCGTGATTCCTCGAAATACGACAAAAATTCATCGATGCAGCACAAACACAAGAACAGAATCACCGTGGCGACATCAATAACGACATGTTGAAGTTTGTATCAAACCGTCCGAAGAACATACAAAATGTTATACATGCTCCCCAACGCCACTCATTTTTCGATGTCGACGTCGCCTGCGTCATTATTCTTCTCCCTAAATCTCTAAATCCACCACCAAAATCTCTAAATATACAAAACATAAACCCCTAACCTTAAATTTTTAAATTTCAACCAATCACATCACCGACACAATCACTCTTGCAGCCAAAATACAAACCCCAACTGAGTGAGTCGAGTGCGCGCGCAGGGTCCACCACCATGGTACGTCTGCTCTTCCTTCCTATCCAGGACCCTCTACGTCTAAATAAACGCTATAGCTACGTACTAGACCGACTCATCCTGATGATGTATCTATTTTTCCTGTCTACAGTCCGCACAGGGATCCTCCAACGCGGTTGTGGAGACAATTGAGCTGTCTAGCTCTAGCTCAGAGAGTGAGGTGACTGTGGGAGACACAACTGTAAAACCGAGGCCCAAGCTACGCACCAGACGCAACAAGGTGACCAAGGCGAGTGATGATCGCACCCCAGATTCGCCTGACGTCGCACGTCCAGCTAAGAGACGACGCGAGACGAGCAAGCAGATCCAGGTATTTTTCTTTTACATAGTGGGATTATTCTTTATTTTTTTAGCATTTTCTTATATAATTTATCGAACTTGTTGATGTAAACATTTATTTAATGCAGTACTTTCAAGATCAAGAAGAAGAAGAAGAAGAAGCTGATGAAGACGCTACTGAAGATTATGTGGATCAAGTGGAGACTCCGTCGGAGGATGAAAAATTGCCTGAAGTGGATCCGAATCGACGACGCAGTGGACGCAAACGCAAAGCGGTGCAGTCTGTGATCGACCTGTCGGACGATGACTTTATCATGAGCAGTGACCAGGAAGAGGAGAAGCCTAAACCAAAAGCGAAATCCAAAAAGAAGGGGGCCAAAAGCAAGGCGAAAGGAAAGAGGAAACGCTCTTCATCAGACTCTAGTGGAGCGGGATCCGGGAATGATAGCGAGGTGGAGATTGTCGAGAGATTGACACCGGAGGTGGATGGATTTATCATTGACAAGGTGTTGGCTCGTGAAGTGCACACGCAGAAGGAGTGGAAGAAAATCTGTTGGAACAAGAATACCCGCTTTCTGACCCACTGCTCCATTTTCCTGCCCCCTGAGGAGGAGGAG